ATTACTAAAATAATATTAAGTTGTTGTGCTTGTATAATCCAAAGAATAATTTGGTTATATGTTTGTTTGTTTATATTAGAGTTATTGGATAGGTAGATAGAGATAATACAAAAATTGTTTTTATGTGATAGATAAAGGTCAATTGCTATAGCAGTGCCTTGAAAAGTTTGGATATTATGGAAATAGGTTGTAAATAATTGATTAATAAAGATTATTGTTTTTGCACTAGACTCTCTTGAATGTTGTAAATTGGTAGTATTGTTGTTTAACATAAAGCATTTGTAATTATTATTATAGAGTTTATGATAAGTGTATTAGAAATATGCCAGTTTTGTTTCAGTAAGTGATATAATATCAAACTGTTGGCTAATGCAATAGTCTAGTTATAATTACCTTTTGGTAATGTTATTGTATCCTTGAATATTGTATGTTGTGATGGTTAAATGTTGGTATATTGGTTTGTTGTTAGGTTCAATAGTGTTATTCATTAACATGAAGTTAGAAAATGTCTATTGCCACTGTATTGATTGTAAGTAGCTCATTTGGTATAGAAGTGTTAAATATTTCTCATGTTAGTATAGATAATGGTAGTAGATTAAATAAAAAGTCTGGAATTATATAAATAGTATAGTGTTGTCTAAGAACTTGCATTGTTGATGTTATTTCTAATTGTAAGGTTATTGAAAAGATGAGTTCCACCTGCAACTTGCAATATTAATTCAAACATGCTTGTTATTCTATTTCATAAAATATCAAATAATATTTACAAACAATTATAAACAAAAAGATGCAAAACCATGCATCAAAATAACCTACTAACAAATACACTTACAATTACAACTCCAGAACACCTAGCCACAGACCAAGTAGCTATAACAAAATATGAAAAATGGACAACTATTTTTTCTACTACTAACATATCTATATCTTACATTGCAACACTAAACCTAGAAGAGGTCTAACAGCCTACTCTAGTAGAGTTTTGGGCTGAGGATAAATTAGTCCTAGCTATAAGTCCATGTAATAATTTATGTACCTCATTTTTATTAATGTAATATCAAATTGTTCAATAAAAACTGAGACCAGGCCTCACTCTTAAATAAAATAAAAAAAATATGAAAAGGTAAGTTGTATGTTCTTCTAAGTTAATTCAGAGTTAACATCTTCTATAATGTTAAATATAGGTGGAAGTACTTGTGTAGTCTAAGTAGATTTATTACTATTAACATTGTTTTCTTGCTCTGCAGTTTGGACAAGAGAATTTGTAATATTAATTCATAGTAGTAGTAGTTGTTTGAAATAAAAATGTTTTCAGTGTTTTTGCAATTTGTGTAAGTTGTTGAGATGTTTTAATAGGTAGTGTGATGTTAAGTTTAGCAAGTTCTTGACTGTCTGTTGGTAAATTAGATTTGTCAGTAGGGTTTGCTTGTATTATATGATCAGATATTGGAAATCAAATGCAGTATTGTTGAGAAACTTCCTTAAGAAATTCTTTTGCTATTGCATTATCAGTTATTGAATAAGTGTACTATAAGTTGGTATGAATGAGATCTGGGTTATTAGGCAAAAGTAGTTTGGTAATAAAGTAGTCACTAGAAAGTAGTTTAATTTATAATACTATTTTAGCTATATAACTGTCTTAGCTAATGATATTTTGGATGTAGATGAGTTAAATAGGAAAAGGCCTCTGACTTTATAGTTAAGTTTCTGATATGTAATAGGTAATGGTTGTTTTGGTGATGAAAATTAAAAATATGAATTTAGGATTACACTAAAGATGTAGTAGTTAGCAAGTTTGCATCTAAAACATGAAAAATATTGTAATGATTTCCTGCTTGTAATTGGAAAATAAGTTTTTAATTCTAGAAAAAGTTCTTGATATCTTTTTGCAATATTGAAAGTTTTGTAAAATAGTTATCTATAAACTTATCAAATTTGAAGATTTTTTTTAGTACATTGACAGTGGCTTTTGTTTTGATCTTTGTGTAATTGAAAGTGTGAATGGTAATATTTCTTGAATATGTCTAGGAATTTCATTAGGGTCTAATATAAAGGTATGAGCTTTTTTTAGAGTGCACTATTAATTGTAGCTTGAATGGATATAGGTGTTTGTTCATTTTTGTTTTGGATTTGTAAAAAACCTCTTATATAGTAAATAGTCTTGTAAATCATAAAGAAGGTATAGTTGGTAAAGTTGGTGTTTGAAAGATATTGTAATATAAGCATTTGTTTGAACATAATATTTATGGTTTTGTGATTAGCTGCATCTGTAATTGTAATTTGATTAGTTTGTTTATAAGCAGCCAAAGCATTATTGTACAGGTTAGTATATTCTTTTTAGTATGTTAGAGTAGTATTTGGATTTTTAGTAAAGGTGTTAAAGAATTTGGTATCAAGATACTTGAATTTAAGAAATATTGCTAATGAGATTGTGAATTGAGTTGGTGTAATAATAAGTTTATAATCAATAAAGTTACAGATTCTGATTTGTATTAGAAGTGCCTTAGTTATTGCTTCATAGGTTCAGATTTGTTGATCAAATAGTGTATTAATTTTGTTAGTAATTTTTGTTTACAAAATATCTGCCCATTCAGAGTTATTGATGTGATAGAACTGAGGTATATTAAGTTGCTTTTATGTTATTTGACTATAAATTGGCTTGGTAGTATTTTGAGTATCTGATATTGTAGTCATAGATGTTGGTAATGATATTGTCATATTGTTAAAAGATTCTAAATTAGGTAATCCTTCTGTATTAAATGGTTCTAGTTTTAGTCATTTTTTGTTTTAGTTTTGCTGATTATTGTTTGTATTGCTTTAGCTGATAATTTTGCCAATTTCTACAATTGTATGTTATGAGAAGGAGAGGCATTTATTTCTTCTAATATGGGTCTTGTATTTGGCCTGTATAGTACTATTTGGTGTTTCTACTATGGGCTAAGTTTGTGTATTATTTACTATTGTACTTGCAATAAGATCAAATGTTAGTTCATCCTCTTGTGTAAGATTACTTGTTTGTAATAGTTCTTCATCTGTATCTAGTTCTGTAATCATATTGTAAGGTATTACTAGAAGGTCTTTACTGTGTTTAGGTATCTTGTATGCCTTTTGTGTATTTTTGTATAACTGAATAATTAGGTTAAGATCACAGCTTTGTATGCTTCTGAGAAATTTGGCACTGATGTTTATAGAGTTGTTTCTAGTAGTTGTAAAGTCAAAAAGTATTAATTAGGAAGCTTCTTTGTACTTGTATAACCTTTGTGTTAGAAAGATAATAAAGTTAAAGACATGACTGGATTTGATAAAATCAACTGTAAAGAGATATTTGTCAATAAAGTCAGATAAGAAAAGTAACAGTTAAGGTGAGTTTAACAGAGTTTTTTATATTAATACTAATAAACTCTTTTGCATATTTAATAGAAGAGTTGGTAATTGAGATTGTAAATAAAGAATTCTTTGAAATAGTAGATTTGCTTATGAAACAAGCTAAGTAAGAAGAGAAAAAAATGCTTTGGGTGATTGTTTGGTTTAGAGTTTGTGGTAGGTTAGTTTGTAGATTTTCTACTATTTTTTTAGTATTTTTTGAAGCTGACATCTTGTGTCTGTATGCTAAGTTAGTAAAAATGTAAAGGTTCTTAAAACCATTTTTGCTAGAGTGCAAGTTGTTTTCTGCAGTACTGTTTTTAGTGTTGTTGCTATTCAGGGCTGCTAGTAAAAGGTTTTTCTAAGGTTGACACCTTTTTTAGATCAAGCTTAGTATATAGAACATGTTTAATTAAGAATCCAAGTTCAGTTTACTTAGTAATTATTGCTGTATTTTTACTAGAAAGTTTTTTTGCTTTTTGTCCAGTTTTGGTAAAATAATCTATGAAAAGAGTTTATAAACTTGACTGAAATAGTGTGTATTCTAGATTATTTACTGTTATATTTATAGCCCAAATCACATTTTTTACATATTTGTGCTATCTATTTTGTCTTTTTGCACATATATTTCTTATTATTTGTATAAATTTTTGTATTGTGCATTCTGTATATCTGTTTGCTTTAAGGTGTTAATTGGTCACAAATCTTTGGTCAACATTTAATCGAGTTGCCAATTTTATTAGAACATTGTTTTTAAATTCTGTTCTCTTATTAGATATTAAAACAGTAAAATATCTATGTCTTATAACAATATCATCACATATGAATTTTACAATTTCATTTGCATTTTTTTTTCTTAGCACCTTCTTCTTATACATATTCTGTTAATTCTTCTACTACCAATACAACATGTTCATGACCTTCCACAGTTCAGGTTAATAGTCCTAAACAGTATATATACAGTTTGTAGAATATTCAACTTGTTGCAGTCATATGAACTGGCTCTTTTATTGTCTTAGTTGTACATTTTGACACTTTATACATAATTTAACATATCTTGCAGCATCATTATATATATTTTCAGAAGCCCAACAGTAATTCATTAGCAGTTTCCTCACAGTTCTATTTATTCTGTAATGTCCTTGTTCTTTTGCTATTCTACAGTGGTTTACCTCTATAATTTCATATTTCTTTGTGTTATTAAAAATAATATATTTTAGCAGTATGCTTCCTTTTTCTCTTTTGTACAAATTATCTTTAATGATACAATATTATTTCATCTTTCATCACAATCATGATAAATTGATTGTCTTCACATCATGTTCTTACTCTAACCCTCTTAAGTAATCTCTATTTTATTTCAAATCCATGCTTTTGTTATCAAGTGTTTCAACTTGTATTATTAACTTATTCACAAAATATTTATCACTTCTGCCTCTATTTATTCCTTTTACTAGATATCTTGACATTCAGTCATCATTTTTATATCTTTTGCCATTTTTATAACACATCTTAAATTTGAAAGCTTGTAATAATAAAACTCAGTGCATTAACCTTCCTTTGAGTTCAACCTTATTAAATAATCATTCAAGAGCTTGGTGATCCACTCAAACATTAAATATTGTATTTTCAATATATCACTTATTTATATTATAACTGAAAATAATTGCTAAGCATTTCTTTTCTGTTATCATATAATTTATTTCATGTTTGTTCAATTTTTTTAACTCAAATACTATAGGTCTCAAATTTCTATTACAGTTATTTTGCTCTTAGACAACCCCAACCAAGACATCATATGCATCAGTATGCAGTTGATATAATCATTGCCCACTTTTTGCACCCATCCAATCTGGTCTTTTTAACTTCATCTTTTCTAACAACAACTTCTTTAAGACTTCAAATGACCTCTTTTGTTCACGCTTCTAACAGAACCTACTCTTCTTTTTTATTAGGTCAGTTAACTGTAAAGGTTTTGTTATTCGAAATATTTTGTATATAATTTTGTTAACAAAAATACTTAAAATTTTATTAAAGAAATCTTGCCAGGTTTAAATAATTTTTAAAAGTACATAAATTTAAGAATAAAAATATATTAAAAATAGAAGCTTAGTCACTCATAAAGCTTACTAATCTATTCAAAAGATTCTGATATATAATTAATAATAAATAAAGATAAAAATAAAAAATAAAATATAAATCATTACAAATCAAAGCTAATTATTAATACACATGTTAATCACATTATTGATAAACAAAATTGCACTATAGAGTAAAATAAATGAGTCATAATAATGCTTATCTATCTATGTTATATTTGCTAAATTAATTCTAATTATATTTAATAAACTGAAAACTAAATATAGCTAAATTAATTATAGTAATTAGTATGTAATTAAGAAAAGACTTAGAAAAATAATATAAAAGAAAAATTACAGAGAACTTTTTAAAAGCATTTTTCAAATTTTTAACAGGTTTCTAAGTTGTATCATGTAATGAATAACCTAACTATTTAACTAAATATTGTGTTTTGTTATAAATTAATCTTTTATCTAAAATTTGTTCAACTTCATATTCAGTTTCATTAAATTTAGAGATGATAATAGGTTAAGATGAAGTTTTATGATTAAATTCTTTAGATTCTTGATAAGGGTTTAACATTAAAACATGAAATATAAGATGAATTTTTAAAGTAGAAGTAAGTCCAATTGATAACTTGTTGATAAAATTTTGGCAAAGATAGTATAAGGTTCTAAATATTTTGAAGCCAATTTACAAGTAGATTTGTATTTGTTAATAGAAATGTTAATATTATGAGCAAGTAATATAACCTTATCACCAATATTAAAATTTAATTTATGATAATGTTGGTTTGCATATTTTGTTTACCTTTTCTGAGCTATTATTAAAATATTCTTAGCAATTTTAATCATGTTATTCCAATAATTAATAAAATCCTTAGCAACAGGCAATTAATTAAGTTTGTTAGTTGCAAGTGAAGCAGGCTATTAGGATGTTGTCCACAATTCAATTCAAATAGAGTAGATCCAGTAGATGCTTGTTTATAATTGTTGTAAGTGAATTTAGTTGCAGGCAAATACTTAAGTATCCTATTTGTATATCAAATATGTTCTGAGCATTTTCTTCAAAGTATAATTCATTCTTTCAGTTTGATCATTAGTTTGAGAATGAAAAGCTGTAGATATTGCTAATTTAGTCCCAATATGATTAAAAAGTAATTTTCAAAAGTTACTTGTAAATTTAACATCTTGATTAAAGATTATAACTTTAGATATTCCATAATTATTAAAGATAGTTGAGAAGAAAATTTTAGCAACTTTAGGTGTAGTAACAGTAGTATGTGTAGGTTGAAAATAAGCTCTTTTAGTTAATCTATCAATAAAAACTATAATAACATAATGTCTCAGTCATATAGTAGGTAACTGAACAATAAAGTCCATAGTAATTTGTTTTTATTTTGTTGTTGGAGTTGTTAATGTTTTAAGTAATCTAGCTGGTTGTTGATTACTACTTTTATTACATTGTCTGGAGTCACAAGTTAAAACAAATTTCTTGATATTCTTGCTCATTTTTGATTAGAAATAATCTCATCAAATTACTTTATAAGTTTTATTAATCCCAAGATATTCTGCTAATTTAATATTATAATATTCCTCCAATAATTTAGTTCTTAATTCCTTATTTATAGGAATAGCTAGACATTGGTCCTTTTTTAAATAAAGCCTATTGTCCTTTAACTCATAATATTAAACACAAGTTTATTATTTTTTGTCACTTAAATCAGAATTTTTCAAAATTTTGTAAACAGAAGCAAAATAATTGTCTTCAAAATATTTTTTCTTAAAGTTTGTAAGATAAAGAGAAATAACAAAGAGATTGACCAAATGAGGTTGTCAAGATAAGGTATCAGCTACAACATTTGTTTTATCAGGCCTATATTTGATATCAAAGATGCAAGATTATAAAATTTCAAGTCAATAAGCTTGCTGACATAAAAGGTTGTTTTGAGACTTAATATATTTCAAAAAAATATAATTAGTAATTACAGTAAACTTTTGACTTTCAAGATAAATATACCAAAGTTTAATAACATGAACAATAGCTAATAATTCCTTTTTATGAACAGCATATTTTTGTTTAGTAGGAGAAAGTTTGCAAGATTTATAAGCAACAGATTGTTTATACTTTTCTTGATTTTGACTAAAAACAGCTCTAATAGTAAAGTCAAATGCATCTGTGGTTATTGTAAAAGATTTAGTTGAGTTAGGAAGGAGTAAAATAGGTGCAGAGATAAGATATAATTTAAGTTGGTCAAAAGCTTTTTTTTGTTTTTATTCTACAAATAATTTTAGTCCTTGTGTAAAAGTTTAGTGTGAGATATAGCAATAGCAGAGAATCCTTTAACAAATTTCTGATAATAACTTGTAACTTCAAGAAATGACAAAAGTTTAGAGATGTTGGAAAGAATAAGCTAATTTTTTATAACATCAATTTTGTAAGTATTAACAAAAATTCTTTCAATTGAAATGTAATGTCTCAAATACAACTTTTTGTTTAAACAATTCATATTTGCTAATTTTAGTAAACAGATGATATTTTCTTAAAGTTTCCAAAACTTATTTTATGTAGTTAAAGTGTTTATGTTTGGTTTTACTATAAACAAGAATATTATTCAAATATATAATAACAAATTAATCCAAAATTTTTTTAAAAATATCATTCATAAGAGTCATGAAAGTAGCAGATATATTGGTTAAGCTAAAAGGTAAGACTAAGAATTCATAATGTCTATATCGAGTATAAAAAAAACAGTTTTAGAAATATTCTCTTTCTTAATTCAAATTTGATTATAACCAGAATAAAGATCAATTTTTGAAAAATATTTTGTTCTTACAAGTCTATTTATAAGGTCTTCAATGCATGATAAAGAATAGTAATTTTTAATAGTAATTTTGTTTAAGACTTTGTAATCAATACACAACCTTAAAATTCTATTCTTTTTATAAACAAAAAGAACAAGAACACTAAAAGGAGAAATACTTAGACAGATATAATATTTTTGTAACAAATCTTCAAATTGTCTTTTAAGCTCATTAGTTTCATTATAGAATAAACTATAAATTGGTCAATGTGAAGGTTTAATACCAGGTATTAATTCAATAACATGATCAAGGCTTTGTTTAGAAAGTAGGTAGTTAGGTAAAATTTTAGAAACATAACTTTGTACTAAGTAATTAATTTTTGAACTTTAGGTTCAAACTTCTTTTTCTTATTATTTGAAGTATTCAAATATACTGCAAATAATTCAGCATTAGTAAAAGCTTTAGCAAGTTGTTGATGAGAAATATAAATAGAGTTGTAGTTAGAATTAAAAAAAGTAGGACTTAAGTTATCAGACTTAACAAAATAATTTTAAAACCATATTGAAAAGTAAGTGTATTGGTTTTCCAATAAATGGTAGGATTAGTATAATATAATTAAGGTTTTCCAAGAATAGTATCATATCATTGTAAAGTAATAACTTGAACTTGAATTCCAGAAATGTAGTAGGTTTCTAATTCCAATTTTTTAATATTTACAATTTGTTTAGTTTTAGTTTTTTTCTATTAGCAAGTTCTATCACAATAGATATAATGTTTGTAGTTGTAATATTGTTTTGTTTAATAAACTTTATGTTAATAAAATTTCAAGAAACACTACTATCCAACAAAATTTTTACAGAATAATCATTAATTTTCTCCTTAAAACAAATTAAATATTTCTTGTTTTTCTCAATATTTATAAATTCAATTTTCTCAATTTTTGAAGAAGATGCTATAGGTTTCTCTTTTATAATAGCAACCTTAGCTTTATTACCCTTTTCATATTTCCTAACATTATGTTTTATTATGTCATACTTATAACAAGTTTTTTTTTAAATTCTTTTTTTGAATTATTGTTAAAATTTTTTTTATAAGTTTTAGAAGAATCGAGTTTCATAAGTATAGGACTATTACTTTTGTTACTTGTATGATTAGATAGAGTAGACTTGAAATATTTTTTTTGACTTCCAAAAGGTTTTCTCAATGCAAACATAACAGTATTATATCTTATTGCATATTCAATAACAACTGTTAAAGTTTCAAATACTCTATATGCAACTTTCATTCTTGTTGCAGATTTTAATCTATCGATATAGTAAGAGACTTGATTCAAGATACTCATATCAGTAATTTGATCTATAATGTTTTGAAATTATATACTATAATCTCTTATATTTTCAGTTTGTTTAAGCTTTTTAAGCTGTTAATAGAGATACTGTTGATGGTTAGAAGGTTAAAAAACATTCTTAATTGCATTTGCAAACCCATACTAATCAACAAAAAAAGGTTGGTTGTTATTTGAAACAACTCTATTCAAATACCAATATAAGGCAACATTTTTAAGACCTGTAGTAACATAGTGAACTTGGGTTAATTTATCTGTAAATCCTTGAGCCAAAAAAATTGGTTATATTTGTAATAATCTTTTAATTTTATTTTTTATTTTTTAAATATTACTATCAGTTTTTTTTTCAACATGAGATATCTTTAAAACTTCTATTGCACTTGTTTTTTTATTTTATTTTATTTTTTTTATTTATATAATGTTCAAGTAGAAACTTTTTACATATAGAATTATAAGTTCTAAAATTAAGAATTTCTAAACAACATTTGTGCTACAAATTGGCACCCAATAACATTACACCCCCTATTTCCTGTGAGTGCTATTGCTAACTATTTCAAATTAGATTTTAGCTAGGATAGGTTGGAGAAGACCTTCAAGTAATTGTCTGAACATTATTAAATACAAGTAGTTAGTGAATAGCCTT